AAGAAGGGTAAGTACAATCTTTTACGTAGTCGCTGCTGGGTTTTTTAATCCTTCGTGTTCTTTTCATAGTTATCCACCTGTGTCACCTTGAAACAGAGAGAGATTTTTTTAAAAAACCTCCATAGAAAGGCGTCCAATTTGAAAAAAATGAATGCCAATATTTTCTTCATTCCTCACCATGCAGTCAAAATTTTAGAGTCTTACTCTGCAGTTCATTTTCTTAGTTTTTGTTTCAGTGAAGAAACACAACTAGCAGAATATTGTTTATACAGTATGTTTTGTGTGTGTGTGTGTGTGTGTGTGTGTGTGTGTGTGTGTGTGTGGTGTGTGTGTGTGTGTGTGGGGGGTGTGTGTGTGTGTGTGTGTGTGTGTGTGTGTGTGTGTGTGTGTGTGGTGTGTGTGTGTGCGTGCATATATACAGGGCCAGTTGGAAGGAAAGTCCCAGATTGAAGACTTTTATCATTCAGTTTTTGGTAAAAAAAAAAAAAAAAAGAGAGAGAACAGAACAAATGAAATCAAGCAAATGAAAATTGAGTTTATTTTAATTTATTATGAAATTAATTGATTTATTGTTTGTGACAGGCCTATTTGCAACCTAAGTTTTAAAATTTGCAGCACATGAAATCCACAATATACAAATTCACTCATGCATATTGTCTATGAATTGTAATAAATTTTGACTAATGACAAAAGACCAGAGTAAAGCAAGGTTTAGCCAGAAAACTGGCTAAGCCTGGTGGTTAAGGGCTTGGCAGTCATTCATCGCGTGACCTGTCGTGTTTTTGAGTTAGAAAATGTCTCAAGTTGACAGAAAATGTTAAAATATCACTTGATAATTATGTGTTATTGAAAGACTGGAAGATTAGCACCTGAATGACAACTATAAAGTTTTAAGAAATGCAAACATAAAAAAACAACAACAAATAAATAAGCAATGCTTAGTGTGGTGGTGGCATAAGTAAAGCCTGGTGGCCCGCCAGGCTTATAATACACCGGGGAAAATCCTGATGAAGTACAAGCCAGAAGAAAATGAAGGAACTGCAGGATTATTCCCATTTATGCACCACAGTAAAGCTTTGGACTTTACCAGAGTTTTACTAAACTTAAAATACAAACAAATGGCTCCAGATAACTTTCATCTTCACCAAATTCATTCATGTTGAACCAACATGCTTAACTGTTATCGAAATGATGCAGGATGGTATGAAAATGTCCAGCTGTGCATAAAAAGGCCAAAACTTCAAATGTATGAAATCATGAAAGGTTGACAACGACCAACACCCAAAAAATATGCATAACATACATTTTATATATTTTATTTCTTGCTTGGTTTTATTTAAAGTATTCATGAGACTTAATTTAAATAAATCTTACCTGTTTCTTTTTCTCAAACATGCAGGCTGTTTTAGACTTTTGGTGTCTGCAGTCAATGAAAATCTCCTCCTCTAATCGATTACTCAGAGCCCCTCGGCTGTTTCCAGCCTCGTCTGGCTAAATTACGGGATGTATGGCCTTGCCCTGTCACCATGGGAACCTTTGTGTCGTCTTCCAGCCTGGGGATCATTACATTTAGGGAGGCATATTTACCTTGTGCCTCATTGTCATTGACTTCAGTTGTTTTGTTTTAAAACCATTTCGGCCAAACTTTTGTTCACATGTACAAAAACACGAAGGTCTTCAAACAACTCTAGCTCTGCTGCCGCTCTGAAATTCCTCACTTACACACCAGGGCGGCCATGTTCCAGTTTGCAGCGCGAGCCTCTATTGGTGTGACTGCTGTGTATTAGATTCTCTATTGGGAATGTGGTGCTAAAAATACAGACCTGACCGAAAGTGTACACTGATAGGAGCTTGGACTCGTCGCCCTGTGATGATTCGCCTTTTTCCACTCGTACAAGACAGACGGAGCGAGAGGCTCCTTTAGGGTTGCAAATGTTCAAGGATTTCAAGCAGATTGTTTTCATTTCTTACAGCTGAATGTTTAAAGTCAAATGGATTAAAGCTTGTTCACTTTTTGTCACTTTTCAATCTTAAACCTTAAGGTATCTTACTTGTATTTTATGCTATAGGCTAACATAACAACTATGTTGCCAGATAAGTTTTTACAAACAAGTATCTGCAAAGTGTAGTGTGTCTTTTGTATCCTTTATCAATACTTTGTAAATACTTTGTGTGTGCTTGCAGTTATAGCTCCAAATATTTTTGGGCTATGTCTCTACCAGATTTGCACACACAGAGAATGATTTTCATTTTACTTTATTTATTTATTTTTTATTCTGAAAGATACAAGAAACACCAATCAAGACAATGTAATGTTTGCGTCACGTTGTTTATAGCCGAAGCTGATTCACAACACCCGTTCCTACCATTCACCTTTGATAAATTGCTCCATCTCAGCTGGACTAAATGAAGAGCATGTGAGGGCAAACCTTTGCCAAAAATGTACAGTTGGATTTAGGACTTTGACTAGGCCATTTTAAGAAATGGTTGCTTTGATTTTAAACTATTATTCTTTATTATAATGTAGATGTTCAAAATTATAATGATCAACATCTGTTTAGAATTTTATATAAAATATTTTGTTTGGTTAGAATAAAAATGCGATTATATATTCTACTTTGTCTGTGTCACATCCCCGTAAATACATTAAAGATTGCTGTTGTAATCTTATAAAATGTGAAAAACCTCAAGGACTCTGAATACTTTGGCATTACATATTAGTCCCAGAAAAGCTGATGATTGATATATAAAAGGGATAAAAGTTTTAAGTTTTTCTTTACGAGCTTCAAAACCTGGGGGATTGTAAGACTTTCTCAGTGTTGTCATCTAAATCCCACATATCTCATAAGCCTGGTCATAAATAAAACACATACAGTAGATTAGAGCCTCACTCTTCAGAGGCTCTTTGTGTTGTTTACCTTGTAATGTTTCTGAGCAGACGGTGTTCAATGAACTTATTATAGTAGTTGCACCTTTTTCTCCACATGGCTGCCAAGTTGGCCTGATGTGGAGTCTGGCGGCGAGTTGGGCCATAAACGCATCGGAGTGCTCACTGGGTCTTACACCTCCAGCTGTGTGGACCCATGAACTGGAAAAGCGAGGCGGGAATGTGGCTTGAATAGCACCTGCAGAGGGAATAATCTTTATTGCCTTCGTTGTTTATGTTGTTATGTCAGCGGGAACATGTGCTGGAGAGATTTAGAGCAGGGGAAGTTGAGCTAATCTTTACCAATTTTTTAATTTGTTACTTGGAAGACGTTAAGTTACATTTAGCAGAATGTTTGAAGGCAACACTGGATCATATGCAAAGTTGTACACTGTAAATGTGTTGAATTAATTTTATTTTATTGGTATTCTAGAAGCTACAGTACATGGACAGAACTCAGCAATGAAATATTATGGTCAGGATTCAAACCCAGGACTTTGTTTCTGCAAGACAACCGACCTAAAATTAGGATTTGTTTAAAGAAAATTATGAACAAGGCAAACAGAATAAATCCTGGGGATGTTGTAAACAGTTATTTTAATAGGCTAATTGATAAATTACTTGATTGACGATTAACTGAGTAAGTAAATAAAAAAAAAACATTCTGCAGTAGCTATTTAAACTAGTGTGGGAAATAAATGAAAGAGAAAATGCTAGTGAATAAACAATTCAGTTTTTAAAATAAAACATGTAACTGCTGAAAATGTAATATGATTGAAACATCAAGTTTGAAGTATAAGAACCGTTTTTAAAGTGTAAAATCACTCAACACAATGAGAAATAAAACATTTCACCTTAACTTTCAAATTCCAAAGCAAACTAATAATAAACTACAGTTCACAAGCTTAAAGTATGAAAAAAACTTTAGAAAATATTTCCAAACAATTTTTTTTTTTAGGATATCATCTTTACTCTTTTATATTTTCTATTTAGTTGATCCCACACGTCTTCTGCTAATAGCCCTTAGCATTCATTGATAGCTTATTGGCAAAAGTGAGTTTTGCACAAGAGAAATAGTAATCCAATCAGAACATAGTGTGCTAATAATAAAATATAATTTAACGTAGCTTTGAATTTTATAACTGAGGTCATCGACTCATTTGATGAATCGTTACAGCTCCAGATGGAAGATGATGGACGGATGGATAAAAATTGTTAAATTTGAGTCTGGAGAATCATTGGACTGTGGAATTACATGTTTTTAGGATTCTTCTTTTTTCTTTTTTTTTTCAGTTGCTTCTGGAGCATTTTCTTGTAAAATATTTAAGCTGTCTGGTGATGTGATTTGTGTTTGGAGGGATTGTCAGGTTCATAATAGCTGGCCACAGGATTATGTTTTTAGTACAGTTGGAAATGGAGACAGAAAAAAATGCAGCCAAACTGCGCAATAGCAGTCGAGGAATTCTCATCAAGCAGGATTTGTGTGTCTGGGCGAGGATAGACGAAACTACAAATCTACAGCTGGTGCAAATACACAAGCATTAGGATATCAGCTGCCCACATAGACATATTTTTTATACATTACCAAATGTTTTTCTGTTTTCTTTCTTTTTTAGGTTTTTATAGTTGTTGTGATTTGCAGCAGCTCCACAACACAGCGTTACCAGGGATGAGCACAGCGTACTTGATGACAGCATTCCATATTTGACAGTAGCTCACAGGCAGATATGGGGTTGCTAAACAAAATGTCATCTTCAATGGTCTGTTCTTTGTCAGAGGCAGAGACACCACCACATGTTTGAAGATAAAACATTCTCTCTAATTATCCAAAGGTTGATTTTTATGTTCCTTCCACCTATGAGGTCTTGTCCCGTTTACAGAGCAGACATCTGATGAAATGCAGCAGACAATTGCACAAGAATAAACCTGCGTTTGGGGACAATACTTAACTTTAACCTATAAAATAAAGGGCAGTTTAGTTAATATTGCTTCACTCAGTTCTCGTTTGTCCTTGTTTTTGTCTTTTTATAGCCCAATTTACAAAAAATGTTTCTCCATTTTCTTTTTCCTTCAGTTTGTTCGAGCAAGGACATCCGCAACAATGCGACCAACCTGCGAAAGCTCGAGAACTGTACTGTGATCGAAGGCCACCTAAAGATCTTGCTCATGTTTGGGACCAAAGCCAAGGACTTCCAAGGCCTGAGCTTCCCCAAGCTGAGAGTGGTCACCGACTACCTGCTGCTCTTCAGAGTCTACGGCCTGGAGAGCCTCAGCAGCCTCTTCCCCAACCTGACGGTCATTCGAGGCAACAACCTGTTCTTCAACTATGCCCTAGTGATATTCGAGATGCTCCAGCTCAGAGAAATCGGCCTCCACAGCTTGATGAATATCACCAGAGGCGCCGTGAGGATCGAGAAGAACCCGGACCTCTGCTACCTGTCCACCCTGGACTGGTCGAAGATCCTCGACACGGTGGAGGACAACTACATCGTGTCCAACAAAAACGACAGAGAGTGCGGCGATGTCTGCCCAGGGGCGTCGATCGGCAAGACCACCTGTCCGTCCACGACCATCAACGGGCATTTCAGCGAACGCTGCTGGACTCAGAGCCACTGTCAAAGAAGTAAGCAGCCTTTTCCTATCATCCAACATTAATATAATCTCTAGATATATCTTTATTTCTGTCTTGGCAGATTTGATTGTAGAGCTTTGTATTATGCAGGGCTTCAACTTGTCATTATTCTGGCAATTAATCAATTCATGTAGATTTTTTATTTCACCACTTTAGTTTACTATATTAAAATACTTTAACATGCAAATAAACCAATCAGTCCTGTTTTTAAAAAAGAAAGTAGACATTTTATTGCATAAAATTCAATAATGCAGCTTTGCAGTTAAAACAATATTTCTAATGTGGATATTTACAAAGAGAATGAGAATATTTACAAAGATTTTCTTTAATCTTAAATGCAAAATTTATAAATATTTTGTACAGTTTGGCTGAATTATTGCTTTGAATATGACGTTCTTTCAACAAATGGCCCTTTTTGAGTGTGAATATTCCAGTTAATGCTTAATCTATCACTAAATTAGTTGATGATTATTTCAATAATAGACTCCCTGCGTTTTATCCGATTAATCGTTTCAGTCCGAATATAATAGACATTTATGATTGCTCATTAATTTGAGCAATTGATGAATGTAATTTGTCAGAATTGCAAATTTAATAAATGGAAATTACTTTTGAGAAATTACAGCACAACGACAAATTCACATCCAGCAAGCTTCAACTGGTATTTTCTTCTAAAACAGGTTTGGTGTGAACGCATCATTAGTCAGCCTTATTTATACCCATAACACATTTTTGAACCCTGTTTTCCAAGTTTGTGTGTGATATTTGCTTCAAGGTGCTGCCTATGCATGTTGGTGATGTTGTGGAAGCTGAATACGTTCTCAGATATTGCGGTTTTGATCAAAATGCACCCACAGGCAAAGAACATTTTGTCCCATAAACACAAATGCGAAGGGCGGTTTTTAATGCAGTTAAAGTTTTGTATAAACATTTAATCATCATTAAGTTACGATGAGGTATCCCCCGGTCTAGACTTTGAATAACTTGTCTATAATGTAACAAAATATTACAATTTTGTGGTATATTTTGATGAAATGTGTATTTTTGCCCTGGCATTTTATGGTTGAGGTTTTTCTTAGATTAATATGGGATATATTTGCTGCTCTTCAAATCACTTTCAGATTCTTGTTGGCTAGTAAAAGACGTTTGAATTTAGACGTCTTTTACTAAACATTTTGGACTTTTAAAGATATGAAATAGTGTCTGAAAACCAATTTACTTCTACGAGCATTTATTATTTCTTTGCTGCAGCTCTGACTTGCTATTTACAGATTCTGAATGACAATAAATAAAACGACAAAAAATGTGGGTGAGTCAAATTGAATGTCACAAAAAAACTTTAGAGTGGATTCAAGACAAAACACTTTTGTGTTTTTGATGTTTAAATGTCAGAGCTGTGTTGTGTGGTGGGTATAAACAATCAGGCCGAGTTCTGTGTCAGAGCAGCTTTAACCCAGCACCGCATAGAGACACCTTGCCAGTCACTCTCTGAACTTTTCTCCCTGTAGGCTGCAACCTTCCTGTTGCTCAACTGAAAGGGGTGAAAGAAGTTTGATATCCAGGCATATGTATTTTTCTTTTCTGCCGCTGTGTTTACTGTAAAACAAAAAGCTGGCGTCATGTAGCTGAAAGATTGAAATGTTGCTAGGATCACAAACTTCCCTGTTCGTTCTCTTACTATTATTGTTTGAAATTTAGACACCTACAATTATTCAGGGTTATGTTTGAACAGCTTGGTTTGTCGTTCATAGTTGCAACGTCCCTGAAGGATTTCCTAGTTGCGCCAGTTTATGGAAGGGAATTAAGACCAGATGATGATGGGAAAGTGCTGCCTTTCAGTCATGGGGAGGGATTTTGTTCAGTCAGGACTTGTGGTCCTGTGGTCTGGGACCTGCGGTTTTCTGCCTACTTTCACTAAAGCATGAAAAGACCCGTTAAGCACCAGCTAGAACCACAGGACGACTGCGAAGCATACAGTATCCTCTGATCTGCTCTGTTGCTACTTTTAGCACATCTCCAGCACTTAAAAAGACATTTTGGACCATATATGTAAAAATAATATTAACCCTTAGTACTAGTTAGCCACAGCAAGTGTCCGTTTTTTTTTTCTCTTTCTTTTTTTTTTAAAACAACAAAATTCATTCAGAACCAAATAAAAATGGTGCATTAAAAATCAGGAACCCTAAATAGTTTAACATCACATTAAATATTTTTTATGTCTGATGTGTCATTGATTTCATGATGGAAAAGCTGTATTTTGTGCTAAACATATAGATTGCATAATCCACCTTATCTTCAATTAGCTCCTCATTGGTGTACTGTACAATAAAGCAAATTGTATAAAAATACAAGACCAGAAAACTCAAAAATACTTGCACCCTTCTAGCAATATAGAAGGGTATTTAGATCAAAGTGGTTCTGGTACTAGACTAGGACTAGTAGTAGATCCAGTTCATAACCGTTTCTATTAAAACATACCAAAGGATCAATTTTGTTTTCGCAGTCGAAGATCTTGGTAATAACATCCTTACAATGTCAACCGTTGCCTTAGACCACAGATCAATGGTTTTTAAATTAAAATGAAAAAAAAAAAACCCGGATCAAATAAGTTTTAAATACACCCTTATTGATTTAAAATGACCTGTTTCTATAATTTAAATGACAAACATTTGTATTTGACCTATGAAGAATATGTCTTTACTAGTGAAAAATGAGATAGAATCAGCTTTTTTTGGTATGTTAGTTATCAGACTTTCTATTAAGGTTGAAGGCCAGTTTTTAGGCAAATTCTCCTTTATCTAACATTTGTATTGGCATAACAGCACTCCAAATAGATATTTTTATCCTTCCTGTTGTAGGTAGCAGAGTTTGCATTTTGCTGTGTGTGCGTGAGGGAAGCTACATTTTTTTATGATGATCTTATGAGCTTGTGCCCCTCTCACAGTATTGTGTATCTGGCTTTTATTTTGAAGGCTCTAAAAGACTTGATGCAATAGGAAAAAAAATGCTTCCATTTGCAGTCTGCAGGAATTGTTCCACAAATTGTTTGGATATGCTGAAAATTTTCAATGGAAAGTTAAAAACCTGGTCATAATCCAGCAGAACATTGTGAAATACACACGCATTACTAAGAAAGGCAGCACATGCTTCACCTTAATTTCCTAATGTCTACAGCCATGTAACACGGGCCTATGAAAATACTAGCATGGACATTAAACTCGGATACATTTTACAATCAACTTAAGGAAATGCTGAACCTAGGTTAGCATTGAAGCTGCTTCAATCTGTGCTTTTAATCAAAAGACATTTGAGTTTGACATTTTAACTAAAACGCTGTTATGGCATAATATAGTTTCTATGGAGTTGGAAACAGGACTGGGCAATAAATCAATAACAGTATACATCGCGATAGACATGTGATCAGTGTGAATAGAAATTACGTCTGATAAAATGTTGATTGATTTCACTGAACTCTGACGTAGAACCACACAGCATTCTGGGAGACGTAGGGAGAGGAAAAGCTTTAGTCGCTCAATATTTCATGGCGTGTTAAGCAAAGGTTGATGGCATCAACTAACTGACTCGCTCTGTGGTTGCCTACACCTGTTGAGTAAATTGCGCAGCAGCAGTTTAAGGTTTCACCAACTGTTTAAAAAAAAACAAAAAACAATGCCGTGGAGTAAAACTTGTGGATAAAATAGGCAAGGTCATGACACCAGTTTGGCAGCATTTCAGATATTTAAAACAAACAAACAAAAAAAACCAATCAGTAATTATTGACATCCACTGATATGACATGGTTATATTGTGATGTGCTTTTCAGCCATAGTCTGAAACATTGGTAATATTATGGAACTTAAATTTTCACCTGGCTGACAACTATGGCAATATTTGCCATAAATTGTTGCTACGATTATTCTTATACTTTAAAAAGGAAGAGCTCTGACAACTTCACTTGGAATAGCACATTATCTCAAAATAAAAACTGTATATGAACTCTGACAAATCTGCCCTGCGCGGAAACGTCTCTGCGACTCGCTTTCACCAAGCAACACCCAGCAAATGAACCCGACTATCCCAGGTGGCTCGTAATTTACACACATTATTGAATGAGAGCTTAATTATCCGCTCTCAGCTGGAGACGAGACACTCGAAGGAGCTTGTGCTCCTCCTTTCCTGCTGCAGCTCTCTCCTGTGTTTGGGATTGTTGGACTCGTTACATATTTAATGAGGATCCCTGAAGATGATCAACATCTCTCCGTTGAATCCTGATTCTCTGACTGGATTGGCATTTTGTTTAGGATTTGCACCTCCTTGATCTGCCAGGTGTTGGGTTCTTGTGACCGTTTATTGCTGTGAATGAGTGAGGTTAGGTAAGGACAAGGCCTTTCCTCCATACGGAGGGTCCAAATTTACACTCAGTACATGTCACATGCCTCTCGACCAATCACAAGAGGGACTTTAATGGGTTTGGAAGCGTCTGTGTGAATGTGTGGACCAGTAACTCTCACTATAAATCTCATAGGGGACATAACCTCCGCATCTGTGCAGACAGACGACGACCTTTGTTTGTCCTTGTTGCCAGGATACGGGGGAGTAACATTGTGGTGTAATCATGGATATGAACACATCCGTCATCCATCCTGGTCATATCGGAAGGAAAAGCGTGTCGACCAGTCATCATGCGGGCCAGAGAACGGGACCTGTTGTAGCGTAAACCTTGGTCAACCTCGGCGCTGGCGCCACAGTCCGTTTCCACTCCAAACAATGGCGGTTGTAGAAGTTCACCAAGAGCTCTCTTCAATTGTTTCCTGCCTTTGTTGGTCTGCTTCCCGTCTGAAGTTATGAATGAGACACTGAGACCTTACTCGAGGTCTTGGTAGCACAAAATACACATATGTGACCCATGGAGGTCAGCAGGACAAATTTGGCTACTAGTGAAGCAATCTGTGTGAAAATAGTGGGGTTTTTTGTGTTTTTGGGGGGGCAGG